TGCACAACTTAGAATTATTTTTATAAATCTCAGTATTCATAATATGCAGACATGAAAATCGCGAATATATATGAATGTGAGTTCCTAATTTAAAAACGAGGTACATTCTGTCGAGTGAATTTCGGTCCTACCCCCTCTAAAAATCGAGCGCCTCAAAATTTATGAGGATTTGAAGATTTTAAATAAATCTGGAAAAAGTTATATTTTGAAAGTAGTGATTTTTTGGCCATTTTAAATTTTCTAAGAGATGCGCTGTTTAAAACAGGGTCGAAAATATCCATAAAGTGGCATAGTTGAGCCAATGTACATAATGAAATTGTTAATTACCTAAATAGTAGTCATACAGCTTTAATATGGCGACCAGCCGAGTTTCAGGATTAGGCTAAGTTTACAACATAGCGTATTAGCGTAACGAGAATACATAAAAATCGCTACTAGCCATCATTAACACAGTCGTTCGTGTTTATCGCTCCGAAAGCAAATGAAAAATATGCCTTTTGTAAAGTGAATAGCTTTTCTCATATTTAAAGCCATACATACATATATGTACATGTGTACATAATAAATCAAAACAGCTCTTCTACTGCTATTACATACAATACAATATGCTTAGGTTTCAGCATGAATTGTCAAAAGGTTATAGAAACAAATAAAAAGTCTCCCTAGTTATAATAGGGCAGTTCACGATGAATAGCATTTGCCAACTTTACACTTAAAACCGTGAACTTCCCTATTATAAATAGGTTTGTTCCATACGCTTTCCGGGCTGTTTCGGTAATTAGAGCGTAAAATTGAGTTACTCTCTCACAAGTGTCAAAAATGTGTCAACCCGTGCCAAAAGTGCCCAGAGCGGTAGGAACGCAAAAAACCACTTTTCGTGCCCGGAATCAAGAAATCAGTTGTAAACAATGATTTTATGTTTATTTATCTTATATATGTAGCTAATAAAATTAGCAAATACCTACATTTCTGAACCTTTTGTGCTATTTTCCATTTCTGTATTTTACAAAATTTGCTATCGGATGTAAACAACCAACAGCTGTTATTTGAAATGACTTCTTGCACATTTCTGCCAAGAAAGAAAGTCCGGGCTGTTTCGGGCACGAAGAAGAAGACATTTACGATCCAAAAGTGGAAGGTATGCGCTCTCTATTACCCATTTTTCTAGCGTGAGGAAAGCTTTCTGGACAGTTTGGGCACCCGCGGGTAGCCGCGGGCCCGTGTGGAAAAAACCTAATATTTAATCGTGTATAATTTTGCTACACTTTAAACACTTTCTGCTTTTTAATCGATAGCGATTATGCTGGCGAAGGAGTCACTATATTGGCTACGCCTTCCATACAAAATAAGCCAATAGCTTAAATTTCTCGTCAAATAATACACGCCTAATTTTGATCGAGCGATATCCATCGCATCGCGTAACGCCATTACTCTAGGTTGTAAACATAGCCTTACCTTCAAAATACTTTGAAAATATGGTCGTCGTCGAAAACTTACACTGATTCTTGAGTTAGGTACAAAATATTTACCAAGCCAAAAGAACGGTATATTTATTTTGCCTTAGACTTAGAAATATTCACAATGTACACCATTCAATTTGAGAATTTGGTATAAAAAATGTACCTTGTCAATTAAAAAAGACGAACAATGCACAGTTGGGAAATACAGTATTTTGAAAAATAATAGGGACACGAAATTTTGACAAGCTTTGCTCTTGTTCTTTCGTTTACTTAATGTTTGTTGTTTTTTATAAAAATACAGCTCATTATCTAGCAAAAATCTTTTTTCAACAAGATTTTACAAAAACAAGTAACTAAGAAAGGCGTTGATTTTTGATATTTTTTGCTGACCGTGTAGCGGTTTTCTTCCATATAAAAATAGATTGTGTTTATTCGTTATATGGAAGTAAATCCGACATAAAAGTTCTAAAAAAATCAACGTTCATTTTTAGCTACTTGTACATTCGTAATAAAAAGTTTGTCGTTGTTGTAAAATCTTTTTGAATTTTTATAATTTTTCTACAAAGTTTCAAATTCCGACTTATATGGTTTTTGTTAGATAATAAGCTGTATTTTTTGAATAAAAACTATAATAATCATTAATCAAACAAAAACAAAAACTAATCAAAATGTCGTATCCCTATTTTTTTTGTCATGACTATATATACCGAAACATATTTTTCGGCATATTTAATTTTCTGAGAACAATGAAAGAAACGCACACAACTTCATATAAAATAAATAAAAAACTGATTTGTTGAATTAAAGAAAATTTATTCAGATTTATTATTTAAATATTTGCGTTCAATGGCATGCTAGTTGTAACTTGTGTCTCGATCTCTTCTGCATTTTGATCTTCCATATTCTGCTTTTCTTCTAATTAAGTCTATCTTTTCATCGACATTTTGGTTTACGAAGTCTATAAATAGTACTAAAATGGCACTTAGCAAAGAAAAGCGGTTAGGTTTTCCTGATGCAGCTATTTTCCATGTGCACGTTTTTAAAAGTGAATCAGCAAAGAGCATTGATTTTAATTGTGTTCGTCGCGTGAATTGTTTTTTAGTTTTTTTAACGTGGTCCAGTTTTGATAGAATGTAGTCTGTTGCTTTTTGTACATACTCATTTTGGTTTAATGTTATACCTTCATATTCTTCAGATGCTACCCATTCTTCTGTAGTCGAGTCAGATATTAGGGAACGTTTTTCATGTGGCTTGTTCATGAATTTAGTCACCGACCCTGATTTTACAAGCTCCTGTAGTGCAAATACTTCACTTCCTAGATATTCCACAGAGTTTTTCAATTCTTGGATGGATGCGAGAACGTCGTTATTATGTTTGCAGGTATTATTTTGATTCAGGAAACTTGAAATGCCCACCAAATAGTATTTTAAAACTGCAATAGTTAATATCATGAAGCTAAGACACATTTCGATGTTATGAATAAAACCATTGCTTCAATTATACAATTTTCCAGTACAAATTTGCAGGTTCCAGTACAAATTAGTACTGACTATTTGTTACTATACACAACTTTTTTATGTTTCGTTGACGTTCACGAACGAAAATATGCGGCGTTATGTTGAAAAAATTCTCGCTGTTGTCCGTACTCGTATGTACTATCCCACTAAGTGTATGGGGTGCTTTATTGATGCATATTTCACCATTGGTGTATTAACCATACCAACCAATGTTGCCACTGCAGGTATTTTTACGTTCCAGAAATCCTACCAAATCAGTTTCCAAACAACCAATTTTTGTATCATCATCAACATGATATTTTATTTCGTTTCATATTTGCTTTATGTAAAAATTAAATCTTTGAGGTTAATTCAATTTATATCAATTATCTTATGTCTAAAAAGTAAAAGAAAATGCAATAGATGCATATAACATTTAGTACACATTAGAGCTTTTCAACATCAGCAACTTTTTATAACCGCTAATCGACAATTTTCTTTTTTAATTTTTACAAACGAACACTACGCTACAACAGTACAATGCAATCCTACAAGTAACCAGTTCCGTGTCTGAACTCAGTCAATACAGAAGACCCCTAAACAATTTTGTCTACCGAAGGAAAATAAAACTACCAGTTTGACCAAAATGGTAATGCTGGTGGCAACACTACTTGTGGAATGTTTAATAGCTCATATCAGTGTTGCCAAATATGCGCTTTAACTACCAAAACTGGTAGGTTTTTTCCATTTAGTAGGTTTTTAGGCTATATTGGATTTTGGTAGGTGAATGTCTATACGTAGTTAATTTGTTTTTATTGTACTAGCTGTATTTTGGTTTTTCTAAATGTTGTTGGCATTAAAAATATATTAAACACTTAAATACAATTTTGGTAGGTTTTGGTTGTGTTTGGTAGTAAGTTTTAGTAGGAAACAAAATTTGTCCATGGCAACACTGGCTCATATTCAAACTGGTGGTGTATTAAGTACACACACACTAGCTTTGTTTCTTTACTTTTGTAGCAGATAAGTATCAGGAAGACGAACGGGAAAAATTACAAAATTTAGTGGTTGTTCTCACTTGCCTGGTTATCAGGTTATGTGGTTATAATTTTTATTCTGTTTACAAAAATCAAATAAAAAGAAAATTCCCCCTTTCTCACTCCATAGCACCTGCAGTATAAGTTTGCACCAAAAAAATTGTATACCATTAGAATTAGAAAAAAAAGGGTGAACAACGTCCACTTCTTCGTTTCTTGCTAGCTTAACGGGCCGTATTCTGCACTTATGCCTGAAATTCACGACTATTTTCACTAACATCACACTTTTCCACCGTTTCCAGATTTTCTTTATTAATTATTACAAATCATATTTTCACAATTTAAAGCAATTAAAACACATTTCCTATAGAAAAATGAAGTATTAATATAATTGACTCTTTTGACATTTTCTTTCATCCTTCTCTTCGGCTTTGTTTATTTTTACACGATAAATTTATTCTATTATTCTTTACGGCTAATACCATGTTCAGACCGCCATCAAAAACTTGTTTTCGTTGCTAAGACTGGTTTTCGACCTAAAACCTTGTAAAATCTGTCAAACGAAAACCAGTTTTCACTGAAAACTACTTGAAAACTCACGTTCCACCCATTCCAATCGGTGTCTTCACTTGTTTTTTAGATATATTTATCGAAGTGTAAGTCATATTTGATCATCTCTAATATGCTAGTTGGGATTTATTGCCAATTGGCTGGCCAAATTAAAATATAAATAAACGATAAAGGTTCCTAATAATAAGAAAATGAAAGAAAAATATTTTGGTTTTGTTTTTTCTTAGCGAAACTGTAAACAAAGGATGAAAGAATTGTCAACGAAAACTCTAACAGCCGGTGCGAACAGCTTACAGCACACAATCCCCAAACTCGTTTTCAAAGTATTTTCGTTGCCGGTCCGAACATGGTATAACACTATCTTGTGCAAATTCGCCTTGCTAGTGATAAATATCTTTAAAGAAACAAAGCTCCTGTGTGGTGTATTCAATATTAATTTTTTGGTGAATTCTTTGGACAATTGTCAATTGCCCACAGAAATTATCAGGAATTGCGGAAAGAGGTAATTTTGTAAGGTCGGTGTTATGCAGACAAACTTTTGTTTGCCAAATTAAATGGCGGTTTGCTCGGAGGTGGTTATGTCGAGTTTGGCACAGGGTTGCACGTTCATTATGTTTTTCATGGCTATTGCCAACACGAAATGAGAATTTCAGATGTACATAACGCGCAAAATTTAAAATTTTTGTATATGACAACCCCGAATTTGCTGCAGTTTGACCAAACAAAATTAGTTTGCTGTGAGAGTCGCCAAACTCGCTCTCTCCGAGTTTGCTGCAACAACAATTGCACGCAGTTTGCCAAACAAAATTTCTGCATAACACCGACCTAAACAAACATTCTTATTATATTATCAAGAGATAATTGCTATTTTTTCTTATTTTTCAGATATCCAGCTTATAGGCAGAGTCAGCAGCATACGTGGCGATTTTCGGGAAAAAGTTTTCGTAGCGTTTTTGATGTTTTTTGGTTTTGTTGACATCGTCTTCAACCTCTTCATAGTTATTTTTTAGCGACTTGATGTGCTTTCTGCAGCGATTTAAACTATAAATTTTGATTTATTACGAATATATGATATAAATGAAGTGCTTTGTGATTTGAACAAGTTTGTGCGTTGGTTTGGGTTGCAAATAGGCGTAAATTTGCGTGGAAAGTGGGTGCACTTTTGTGGTCAGAAAAAATCGAACTGTGCTGATGCTACGTGGTTGCAAAACACTTTCATTTTTATTCAGTTTCAGTTATTATATTTGATGATAAATGCCAATATAATCGCACTCAACCTCCACGCATTTTTCGTCTTCGTTGTTTGTTTTCATTCTTAGGTTTTGTACTTAAAATGACGATATGTATACTAAACCCTACCCTGTGTATTTATGTATTTATCATTAAGAATTTTCCATTAAAATAGATACAGTTCAGTGTCTAACAAAATACATATGTATGTATAAAAACGGAGATATTAAAATGAATGTTTTTAACTTAAGTGTTGTCTTTTTTATTTGAATGAAGGAATAAAATGTATACGGGGTTACAAAGTGTGAATTAAAGGAAAGAATACGCCTTTTTTAGCATTAAAAAACTGGTTATTCTGCCTACATTCCGGATCATATGGATGTAAACAAACAAGTTTACATTTTATATCATCTGCGGAATATTCCTTCAGTATCTCCATTTCAATGGCTGCGGAATAAATATTTAAATGGCGAGATGAGAAGGGACTGGTATTAAAATCGGCATATCGCCGAATGCTTCTTCCATGTATCTTTATTGTGGTGCTGTTTGATGTCGCGTATATCATTTCAACGATTTCACTATTTTTGGTCAAAAACCACTTATTCTTTCGGTCATTTGATAGCATGAATTCTGAAAAATCTACTCTGCCATACATTTCAGAGCTTGCGACAATTTGTTTGCTTAAAATGGGGTATACGGCTGATTTTGAAGGCCGGGAATTCAACTTATTCATTTCAATAATACGTTTAGCCACTTGACTCAAAGGTCTGGAACCATTTTTTAAAAGACATTTCAACCAATACAGCGTACTCTCAAATGGATATGCAGAAATATTTCGCAAAGATCCAAATTTCAGAACGTCATCATGAACATGTATTAAATTGTGGACATTGGAGCTGATAGAGTCGTTGCCATACAGAGATATAAATTCTTCCACATATTCATTCATCAAATTCCTAGCGACGTCAAGAACTCCGGGACTTTGTACATATCGTTCGCATGAATATATCGTCGTTGCTAAAACTAAATTCCAAAAGTGTTTATAAAACTCAGTTGGTAAAAAACTTTTCATTATCACTGGGCCAAGGTATAACAAAAATGTTCGATATTCTATTGATTTCCAGAACGACAATGTATCGATGCCAATTTCGAGCTAATATGTTTCTAAAATAAACATACCTAATTCAATTAAGTGCATCGAATCAGCAATAGGGAATTTTTTATCATGTCAATGCCTTCAATTTCCTCCAAAAGGGTGTGATAAAACTGTCGCATTCTTGAATTCCATAGATGATGATCTTCATCAACTTTGTTTATAAAATCTAAATGAGTTCTTCGTCGACAATCTAACCTTGGAAAGCTCATGTGGTTTCCCGATCGATCGAATTCTCCTACAACGTTACATTTTGTACAACTGTTATATGCGGTGTGTGTCTTAACGCCTGTAAAATCCAGAAACAATTAGGTATTATATCATTTATATCATTAACATTGCTATTGCTATGTATCTGCTAACTTGACTGTGGAATGTACGTACACGAATGTATACGCATGCTATGGAGTTCGAGCTTTACTCACATTTAATAAATGCTCGAGCCGGGGTGTCTGCAATATACGCATTAATCTTGATCAATATTTTTGAGCCGTTTGGAAACTCAATTCCATTTAAAATTAGACTATTAATCTCGTCAACATATGATCTTAAAAACTCTTCGCTGGATGGTGGTTTCGAATCGCCGAAATAAATTGCTACAACCATTGGTCTAATTTCATGCATATTGGCTATGTCAATTAAAACTGGCCAAAACTGAAACTTGTTACTTCGGAACAGGGGTAAACCATCAACATTGAAATTGAGAAGAACTTGAATTGTTTGATTTAAGTCACGAAATGCATTTCGCAAGCAGTTTTCAATGCCATAGTACCAGAATGAACCGGATGCCATTGTTTGTATTACCACATTACGCGGTGTATGGAGCAACGTACGCGCATCTTTCGGCAGTTCAGTTTTTCCTTCGCTCCGCAATAAAACAAGTAGCTCAGATACAGCAGAGTGGGCTATTTTGTATTTTATAGCCCAATCAGCCAATTTAGACATGAAGTCAATATGGATGTTCACATATCAATGACGCAGTCTACTGAAGACGGCTCTACTTCCCGATATATATTTTCCACCAC